CCATCAGACTTCCACTTGTTTCGCTCTCTTCAAAACTCCTTGCATGGCATAACGTTCAATTCAGACAAGGCTGTAAATCAGCACCTTGCTCAGTTTTTTGCAAATAAAGACAGGTCCTTCTATGAACGAGGAATTATGAAGCTCACTGAAAGATGGCAAAAGGTTCTCGAACAAAACGGGCAATACATCATTGATTGATCTTTGTTCTTTATATAAATAAATGACCTCTGAAAAACACAGATAAAATATGTCATGACTTTTCTGACAACCCAATATATAGGACATATTTAGGAATATGTGGGAAGACCTGGAAAAATTATAGCTTGAAGAGTCCTTGAGGATCGCTGTGTTTCTACGTGAGAAATCGGAAGCGCACAGAGAATGAGGCACTTGTCCCAAGCTGCCTGGGTAGGTACCAGTGGAGCTGCTGCATCCAGGTCTGATTCCCAGCTCAGTGCTCATCACACTGCACCAATCTGTTGGCCTCCTTTTACTGCAGATCTGAGTTTTGTGAATTAGCAAATGAATGTCATCAAATCAAGGACTCGGCGCTATGAAGTGTATTTTGTTCATTTACTTTGACAAGGGTAGTTCAGCTTCAATAATTTATGTAACTTGATAGTATCCACAGGAGAATGCCCTGTGGTGTATTTGGGAAAAGTAATGAATTTCTTCTAAATCAGCCTTCCATTTACTTCCCTGCAATTAAATCTTTGTGAAGAAGTGGGGCAAGGCTGTTGGGGTTTTAGGACAGAGGGAGAGTGACAGGATGCCACCAGAATCAGCCAGCCTGAACTGCCGGATCCCCAGGTAACTGGACCATTATTCCTGCTTGCTAAATGTAAATTCCTGCCTTGCTGGCACGCGAATACATTGCTTCCAAATTTTGGTATAATGTAGACTGATGAGGTTTTCAAGAATAGTACACTGAAGAAAGCTATTAGATTGTTATATGTTCTTCCGAAGCAAATAAGAGTCTGGCATAAGTATACAACTTCATTGTTATATAGTCCATGAAATGACTGCAGTGCTCTGTGTCACCAAGGCTCTGACAATACTTGACACTCTTTTCACAGGGTCTGACATATTAAAGTGGCCAGGAAGGTTCAAGTCCACTTTGAAGTTATTTTTGTTCCACTCTCCTTCTTTCAACCTGGTTTTGTTTTCTGCGTGCATACATATTTTTTTTCCCCTTTTGTGGATATTCTTTGAAAAAAGCTATGTGCTCTCTTTAAGAATGTGAGTGCTGTGGATGGAATTGTGTCGCTCCAAAATTCATATGTTGAAGTCTTAACCCCATTGTGATGGTATCTGAAGATGAGGCTTTGGGTAGTAATGATTAGGGTTAGGTGAGGTCATGAGGGTTGGGCTCTCCTGATGGCATTAGTGGCTTGCTAAGAAGAGGATGAGATCTAGATTATTCTCCTTCTGCCATGTGACTATACAGTGAGGCAGCTGTCTGTAAGTCAGGGAGAGACTCTCATCAGGAGCCCAATTTGCTAGCACTTTGATCTTGGACTTCCTAGCCTCCAGAACTGTGAGAAATAAATGTTTGTTGTTTAAGCTCCCAAGTCTAGGGTATATTGTTATAGCAATCTGAGCATTCGAATGCAGTGAGGCTCCTGGAATTGATGAATCTAAACCATGACTTGGTTGCTAAGACAATCCATTTATTGGCTCTGCCACAGATTTTCCCAGGTGGACCTCCTACCAAATCTCCTTGAAAAAGAAGCACATGAAGGTATTGCCACCGCTACTGCCATTTGCCAAGTGGTGAACTTTTTACAAGACTCCATACTAATGTAAAATTGAATTTTAGAATTTCTAGATATAGTCTGCAGAATATTAACTTAGGTAACCAAGTCACCAAAACTAGTCATTTCACCTAAAAGAACTGGTTCCCAAAGTCTCCAAATTCTTTGTTTTGTAAACATGTTTACAAAGATTCCCACGTTTTTGCAAATGGAAATGGCTGTAGTATTTAATACTGGGATTGTCCTTTCTTGCAACTGGATTTATGCTTCATAATGATTATCTACTAGACACAGAAATAGCATTTCTGTAACTCAAAATTGTTACCAGAGGCATTTAGCAGAATCTTGCTTTAAAAATATAATGATTTTTCATCTTTATTCTCCCCCCTTCAAAAGGTTTCACTGCTCCTGATGTTTAACGTTATGCAAAGACGTGTTTCTGCCAATGAATATCGCCTTATGGTTATGCTTCTGCAAATAGCCTGCTGTGAGCTGATAAAGGGATTAATGCAGCCAAAATTCTTAATCTGTGAAATTACAAATTAAATTCTCATATTAAAAATACCACCCTGAGGTATTTTTTGTGGTTTTAATTCCCCTCTGGTGTTCTGCATACATTGTGCTTGTTAATGATGGAGACGAGGCTGTTTCCGCTGGCTGCCTGCTGCCGAGTGATAATGTGTAGGCATTTCCTTACTGATAGAAACTGGATTGAACCCACTGCTGATAAACTAAGTGGCAAGTGGGTAATAAGTCCATATTAACAGAAAAGTACTACTACAGAATTCAGAATTCCTAGACCATCCAAATCCTGGCTTAAACACAATCATGGAGTCAGGTGGGATTGAGATGTCACCAGGGAGGAGTGGATATCAAGTTACAAGTTATATTAAATGGGAAAACAAACCGTATGTTTGAGTTTGATGAGCCATAAACTAATGAGCCCATTTGCATCATTTTTTTTTCAGCATAGAAAGATGTGTCAGCAATTCATTATTTTTTTCCATTGGGATTTCCTCTTTATTTTAATTTTTTAATGGGGGTAGCTGTTGTAATGGTCAGTGGCTAGACATTTAGAAAAGAAGTAGGGCGGAATAGAAAATAAACACGGGCTGGTAATAAATGAAATGTTAAAGATTTACTAAACATAAGGGGAGTAATATATCTGTAGTCACTTTAGGGTAAAAAAAAGTAATTCAAATTAAATGCAGGATTATCAAAAAAGATTAGGGTAGGAATACCCAAGAGGAGTTGTTACTGAAGACCTCGTTCCAAAATAAAGGGTTACTGTAGTCAAGGAGAATCCAATACTACAATGGAGGAAAAATCTAAAGTCCAAGAGATTAAAGAAATAACTTTACGTATGTCCATGGTAAGTGATGTATACCCATGGATTATATAGGCAAGTTATAAAATATCTATGCATACATGCAGTATATTAATTTTTAAGGCAATCCGAATGAGTAGGAGAAGAAATATCTCCAACTGGCGTGTGGAAACAACACATCACAATTGGAAAAAAAATATTCTTAGTGCAATAGTTTTTTTTGCAAAATTTCACAAGAATTCTGTTTCACACTTTGGAAGAAAGAGGAGAACATCCTGGCCATAAATCCTCCCCCAAATATTTAAAATGTAATTGAAAGAGGCTGTAAAAACAAAACAAAAACCCACCCAGGAATGTGTTTTGTTTTAAAAAGCTCCAGAGAAGCTCTGTCTGTATGAATACCAAGAGCATTTGTAGTTAAAATGAATTACATGTCTTCAGTTCTTACATGTCAATTCAGTGCATTAACCAATTGCCAACTCTGTTCGTCAGCTCACTGCATAGCGGCCCTTTTTAAGGTTATTGTTACAACCAAGATGGTCTCTGACAATCAAACAGAAATGAATCATTTCTCCTCTGTACTGCAGCCAGTTAAAAAGTACTGTATGCATAAATATGTAAATCATATTTTCCTTTTCCTTTCTGACTGCTCAGATCATTTTTTTGGACACACACATAATTAAATACAAAGACATGCAGCTGCAGACTGCAGAGCAGAGATAGCAAAAAAGGAATCCATTTTCTTCCTGTGTCTGGCTAAGCTAGCAATCGAGTGGCAGGATTCCACTCAATATATACACACACAACCCCCCTTCTCCCGTGTTCATTCTCATTTCTCTCTCTCTCACTCTCTCTCTTTCTCTCTCCCTCCTTCCACACACACACACACACACACACACACACACACAATCTTACACACGTACATGTAAACATCTTAATCTCTCTACATGTATGTTATGCATAGATGCTAAAATGATGTCCCTGCTTTGATTTGATGTTGTGATTTGTCGTACTCACTATCGGTCAGTTCCCATAGCCGTGGGGGCAGGTCACTAAAATACTCATGGCTCAAGGCAGCCTGTGCCGATAATCTGTTCTTTGGGGAACATTGTAGGAGCTTAGAGGCCAGATCCTCTGCATGATTCACATAGCTGAGCCTGAAAACATAAGCACAAAAGAGAGAAATCAGAACACATGTGAAAAGTCACTAAATAAGACATGAAGCTCACCTAATTTTTCTGGGCTTATTTATTCCTGGTCCAGAAAACAAGCTAAATTACCTGAAAAAAAACCCAGCCTAATTCACATTGGTTCTCAGATTGTTACTCTAAACTGGCTTTTACTCTTGATATCTTAGTCTCATTGATTTAAACTATTTTTACTATAAGCAAAGGCTTGATACTTTCAGGCTAGAATTAGGTCCAGAGGTAGAAAATTTCAGACGATAATTTATCAAATAGTTGCCAGAATTTGTTCGTAGGATATATATACTGCATACACATCTGGATACATTTATAGGAAAATTAATACAAAATAACTAAGGAAAATAAAACTGCTATTAAATTCTCTAGTTACTAAATTTACTTTTTCTCCAAGAATTCACATTTTTTTTTTTACATTGAAACTAACATTATTGGAATAAGTACACTGTCAAATGTCAACAATCAAAATATTAACATGCAGGTTAACAAAGGGGATATGCTTAAACCATATGGGGCTGAATCAATTCAAGATGACCTTTAAAACAACAGTAGATAGAAAATATCTCAAGATTACCAAAATAGCAGAGAAGTTTTCCACGTGGTACAGACATGGATAGTAGACCACATAGTCCAGCTCAGCCTTTCTTTTCATGGAATCTCTATTTCACTGCTCAGTGCAATCAAGCCCAGATAATTAACATCATAATAATAGTATTCCTAATAATGGCTTCCATGTATGGATAGTTGAACATGTGTCAAGTACTTTCTTAGGCAGCTTTGCACTCTCTCATTTATTATAGTCCAATCTGGTAATCCTGGTCCCGCCTAATAGCAGTTGGAAGCTAAGTAGGAGTCAGAGAAGGTAGTGGATTGTTTAATTAGCAGGTTGAATGGATTCAAGCCTATCCAGAATTATAACTCTCCAATGGTTTGGGGATGTAAAGCACAGCATAGGGAATATAGTCAATAATACTGTAATAACTACGAATGGTGCCAGGTGGGTACTAGACTAGTCAGGGGGATCACTTCCTAAGTTATATAAATATGTAATCACTATGCTGTACACCTGAAACTAATATAACATTGAATGTCAACTGTAATTGAAAAAAAAAAGTAAATGAAACGGTTTGCATTTGTCATGCTTTCAAGTTTGTTTCTAAAGGCTTTTTATCCACGGATTCCTGAGTTTCTGCAACAAGGTGCAGTAAGCGCAGTGACTCTTAAGTGCAGTCAGGAGACTGTGCAGAAAGTTGCATCTGCCAGCAGGTATTTGTTCAAAAGTCTTGAAGCCACTAAACCCACAATTAGCCAATAAACATCTTTCATCAATGACCAACTCTCCTTCCTTTCTTACATAGTACTTTAGTACTGATTTAAAATTGTTATGGGGGTGGGGAGAATTGGGAGTGAGGAAGAGGAGAGGAGGTCATGAATTTGGGTAGAAGAAGAAAAAGAGAAAAGAGCAAAGAAAAATATTTCTCCAAAGATTCAGTCTAAGACACCTTCTCTCTAAATCTTCACATGTGAAGATCTCAAAGGTAGGTTCAGTGTCTGGCTGCTGCAATGGCTGTCCACCCTCCCCCTCCCCAAAACAAAACAAAACAAAACAAAACAAAACAAAACAAAACAAAACAAAACAAAACACTGATCAGTGAATTGGTTTTAAATGCCTCTGTCTGGCAAAGAGAAATTCGTCTGCAGGAAAAGGAGAAACTCTCAAAATTCTCTAGTCTTTTTTATCCCTTCCCTTTAAGAGGGGCCAGGGCCATCCAAACTATTCCGTCTCTTCCTCAGATACTTCTCACTATTATAAACTTTTCATTAATACTTTTAAAATACCAAATGCAAAGTCTGAGACAGGTAGACTTTATGGTAAAGGTTGCACTTTCTGAATGTACAATTCATATAGAATCGTGGTGAAGAACACGTTGGTATACATTTTATATCGCTTTAACTAATATAATATTGTATGTTGATAATATTTTTAATAAAAATCTTTTTAAAAAATTTAAAAAATTTTATATAGCTTTGATAAAAGAGAACAACAGTGCCACATTGAGACTAGTTTGAGTTTTAGTCCTCACTGCCAGAGGGGTGATGGACCCCATTATGTCTGCCATCTCTCCAGCTCCAACAAACCATGGATCATACTTAAAGCATGGTTTCACTATTTTGAATAATTATAAATATTTTAATTTTATCTTTGCTTTTGCACTAGATTGTTTATCACATTTAAATTTAATACATATATACCTATGAGGTATGATAAAAAATATGGTGAATGTTTAAATTAAAAAATTTATTACAGTGAAAAACACATTGCCATTAATCTCCCTCAAAATACTCTCCCTCACTTCAAACACATTTATCCCATCATTCTTGCCAATGTCTGAGGCAGTTCTGGAAGTTCTCTCTTGTGAGTGTCTTTTGTTGCGCTGTCATGGCTGCCTTGATGCCTTGAATCCATTCAAAATATTTACGTGCAACATGGAGCCTTTCCATTGTGATCACAAAACACGATGAATGCTATTGCCCAGTGCCATCCAACGGAAAGGCAGGGATCTTCAAAATGGGAAGCGGGGTGTCGAACCTTAGTAATGGTGTGTGACAAGTTTCAACTTGTTCGGTGCAGTCAGTTGGGTGTGAACTATGGCTGAGAGAAGGTGTGTTTTAAAGTGTGCTGTAAATCATCCTCCATCATGCTCTGTGTCACACATCGCTTCTGGTATATGGCAATTTTTGTCAAATAAAAACATTACAGTGTGTCCTCATCCACCTTACTCACTGGATCTGGCACCGGGGGGCTTCTGGCTCTTCCCCAAAGTCAAAATGGTTCAGAACAATGAGGCAGCCATGACAGCGTAACTAAAGACATTCAGAAAAGAGGACTTCCAGAACTGCTTCAGAAAGTGGCAAGAACAATGGCACAAGTATGTTTGAAGTAAGCAGGAGTATTTTGAGGAGAATTAATGGCAATGTGTCTTTTACTGTAACAATTTTTTTTTAATTTAAACATTCACAGTATTGTTTGATCACACCTCATAATTATGAGGAATTCACCGATGTCAGAAACTCATTTCCCATCTCCCAAATTGACTGAACTTTAATGTCGATAATCAAATGCTTATTTGTGATATTCAGCTTATACACAAACATTTAAACTATATATATCATTTTAATTTACAAAGTATGCAATTTCCTCACTTGCATTTCAAGAACCACTTTTATTCCAATTCTCCACATGCATTTTCAACATCAGGTTTTTTGTCATTATCAGAAGCCCTTTTTGAGTCCATCCAAGTTGAAATATGACACTTCAGGATATCTTATTTAGAAGTTTTAACCCAAGCCTTAAGTGTGTGCCATATCAGAATGTTAGAATGACTGTTTGTGTTTTGCAATCTCCCATTGTGATGGTTGATTTTTAAATTTTTCTTTGTAATTGCACCAATTTTTGTTTTATATATTCTAAAGCTGAATAATTAAATGCATAACAATCTAGCACTGTTATCTCTTGATTGAGTCATCAATCCTTCTGTAGTCCCACTTTTACCTTTAATAAAGCTTTCTGGGCTCAAGTTCTGTTGTTTTTCTTTTTTTCTTCTTCTCATATTAATTTAATGACCTCAGCTTTCTTTTGTTCAATGTGTGCCTGGCATACCTTTTGTTACCCTCTTACTTTTTAATGTTTTATATCCATAATTTTAAAGTGTCTCTTTCATAAACACTATATAGCCGGGTTTAATAATAATCCAATTAAACAACCTCCGTCTTCTAAGAAGAAAATTTAGTCCATTTACATTTGTGATTCTTGATATATTTAGAATTACTGCTATCATCTTAATCTTGTATTGTATTTTGACCTGCTTTATCTCTTCTTCCTTTTTCTGCCTTCTTTGGGATTTTTTAAAGTTCAACATTTCCATCTTCCATTTTAGAAGTTATACATTCTGTTTCCACATGTTTAATGATTATTTTTTAACTTTTTTCTCTTTTTTTAAATTGCATTTAAATATCACACTAAGTTTTTTACAAGCTGGTGGACACTGACAAATTACTTCTCCCAAGAAACTATAATCATACATTCTAGACAGTACAAATATATGATTGATTAACATCTATACACAGCACCATTTTATCAATTACATAAGATAAATTATCAAGTATACAAATATTAATACAGCTGATCAGGAATATAAAATATTAGATATCTGCTCAATTCAATAGCAGAACTTCTCTTTTTTTGCAAGAAATACTGAGAGAAAAGGAAAAAAAGTCACACTTCTAACAATAGTTGACAAATTCCAATAAACATGGGGAAAAAAATGACAGGACTTTCAGAAATTTTATGATTAAGTATTAATTTAGCTACAACAAAGCATGCCTAATTAAAAAAAAAAAAGACTTACTAAAGGGCATATTCCATACGTCCTAGACCAGACAAGCAAACCATTTTGCTGAAAATACTTAATAGCTCACTCCTACTCTTTTCAGGCTGTCTCTTTTAAGTTGTACCCCAAAGTACAAACACTAAATTAGTTTTAAGATGTTTTGTCTGGAGACATTAAAGACATGTGCTTCTGTACAATGTGGATTTTACATGAACTTTCCCACCAGAGGTTTGTGATTTTCAAAATTGAAGTTTTCGAAACTCCACAAAATGAGATTTATAGAAAGATATTAAAAAATCATCACAAAACTTGGTCACAAGCCAACAAAATCAGTGGTTACACAAACCTGCTGTATATTGTTTTAAATATGGGATATATAAAATAGGGTAGCAGTCAAATAGCCATATCGGTCCTACTATCAATATTTGTAATGACTGAAGCGATAAACCACAGACCACCTAGACTATTTTTCATAGTTCTTGGTATTTTAATCCTGTATGATATTAAAAACATACAAGTATTGTGCTGGGTATTTCGGCACCCAACCCTGTAAATTTGTTATAT